TGCGCCCTTCGTTGCCTTTTGGTAATGCTCCAAGAAACTGATTTCTCCAAAATATAGGAAAGATTTGTTATTCTCGAAGGAAAACACGGATTTTTCTTCCATTTTCATTCCTTCCTCGTTTGCGCTCTTAGAATCTTCAATTTTCAAACCTAGTTAGTTATCATATCATAGAAAGTATTTTGTGTGTTTAGTCGTTACACGTTACACGTTTCACGCTGGATGATAATGAAAAGAAAAATCATATCGAACGTCAACTGAATACCAATATACCTGCAATCTCATTGGATGATTCAACGTAACAATTCATTGTTATAAATGATTTGTAAATAATTGTAAAAAATTTTCAATCCAACCGTAAACTATTCTTTTTATATAAAATTTTACATTTCGATATTTAAATATTTTATAAATCGGTATAAATCTAATCTGTGAAAATCTAATTTCAATCCGGTATCGGAAATTTTTTAAAACCATTCTGAAAACCATTCTTTGCACTGCGCAAAACCTGTTAACTATCCTAACATAAGAAAGCATCGACAGATAATTACATCGATGAACTCTTGAACAAGCTCTCTCTTTTTTTCGCGGAACGATATCTCTATGGCAAGAGATTAAGAAGCAAAAAAAAAAAAAAAAAAAAAAGACAATGGCATTGATAGCGATTAAAGAAACAACAATCGTAACTATCGTTAATCGTGTAATCGTCCATTGTCAGACAAGTCGAGTCGTCATTGCGAAAATCAGCTGATAGAATCGTTTAACGTTTGATTTACATGCATGTATATCATCCGTATACGAGCGTAGTTAGTATCGCGGCCTTGAAGGAAACAACATTCGCGGCGGGAAAAATAAAAACAAGTACAAAAAAATGGTTTGGAAAATCGATGTCGAACGGAACGATACTAATTCGTTCTTTCATCTGGAAGAAAGAATTCCGTTTCTTCGGATGAACCGCGTTCAACCGTGGCCCGACTCGATTAACGATGTTAGGCGAAACGTTTCGTGGAGCGCACGTGAAACGTGCTCATTGATTTTACCCGAATGGAATATTCATGGACGCGTCCACGCGCGACGCTACGCGATGAAACCGCTGTGTCGCGTGTCGGCGGAATGGCACTGGTCGAGGGTCGATCGAAGGGTGGACAATTTCGTGGTAACTTTGACGTGTTAAGCTTCGATATTCGAAACAGAGATATTATATCAATAAATAATTTTGATCGATGCTTTTTAGAAATTGAATAATTTCGTGGTTAAGCTTAGATATTTGATGACTAATCTTGGCGTATACGCGAATTTAATATAGTAATATTTGTAGTAATAAAGATATTATTAAATCTAATATAATTTTTTATCGTGTTTTAGAATTGAACGAACAGTTTCACGCAATTTCGTGGTAGATTTGACGTGTTTTAAATTTTTAAGATATTTATTGATGCTTGATAAATTCCTGTAACTATATTTAACACATATTAATTAACATTTTAGTATTGAGTGTTTTACGATTAGCGAGTAATGGATAATTATAGAAAAGAAAAAGTCTTCTATGCAAAAATAAAAAAAAATAAAAATACGATATTTTTAAGACTTCGTTTTCAAGCTTCGTATACTTAAGATTTTATAAGATAAGAATTTTCGATAATAAAATTATTTGTTAATATATGATATAGTAAGCAAAGAATGAAAAAAAAATGATGAGAAACGTATGATACTTTAAAAAGAATGAAAAAGAAGATATATTTTATTGAGGATTATATTTTTATAAATTCTTTTTTCAGTAAATCGTTTTTATCCCTCCAAGTAATTTCAGTTTGCTGTAGATCGAGAAGAAATTTCATTCAATTTTGTTAAAATTTTGTTTGAATTTGTGTTTGAAAAAAATCTTTAATATTTCACTTGATCAGAAATTTCAATAAATATTTCAATTTTTTTCAAATTTTCTAAAGTTTAGAACTAATAAAAAAATCAATATCATAATAATAATAAATAAAATAATAATATCAATCAGATAAATTGATTAATATTTTATAAATATGTAAAACATATTTCCAATAAATCAATAATCTATTGTTAAAATATATAAATAACTATTGTTCTCCTTTTTCTTATATTTACAACTTTAATATAAAAAAAATTGAAATTTCTTTGTGAGTCGTTTATAATTTCTGCGTTTGAATTGAGATTTCATATAAAAAATCATACATTATAAAGTTGGATTCATTTGTTAAATTAATCAATTGAAAATTCTGTGTTTCATATATGAAATCTGCGTATTTATATATAAAAAATCATATTGAATTCATGTAATTTATTAGATTAAACAATAATACATTTGAAAATTCGTAACAGAAAATGGTTTTGTGACCCAAATTTAAAACAAAAAGATTCACGAAATTAGATATGCATAATTGTACTGTGATCTTTGAAGCACAAACTTAATATACAATCAACAAAAGTATTCTTACGTTAAAAAGAAATTCATCCGAAAATTTTGATTTTATTGAAAATTTATATGTATACAGGGCACAATGGGTTATATATATATGGAGCAAATTTCGATGAATAAATCTCTTTGAGTGAGTAAAATCAACCCTCAAAGATTCCATTATTTTTTTTAATTTTAAATACAATTTCATTTGAGAATATTTTTCGCAATAAAATGATAGAATATTAGAAATCAAATATTTTATAATTTAAAATTTTCTTTTTATCATTATAAATTATATTTGAAAGAACAAAAAATATTGAAATTTTTATTGATTTTATCTTCTTAAAGTGATAAAAATTAATTAAAATTAATTAAACTGAAAAAATTACTGCATATAATTCATTATAAAATTTCATTATAATAAAAGAAATTTTAATTTTTTCATTTTTTTATTTTTAAAAAATTTGTTTCTTTAATAATGAAACTTTTTATAAAATTTATTATATTTTGAATTTTTATGTTAGTTTTATATCAACAGTGTTTTGACGTTATAAATATTTGTCTTCGTATTAAAGATTTTATATTTTAAACTTTATATTATAAAGTTCTTATTTTAAGATTCATGTTATTAGTATAAGCTCCATGAGCACTATGTTGTACAAAATATTATAAACTTTGTAAAATTTTGCACATTCCGTTCTAAACTTTATATCATAAAATTTAAATTGTTGAATCTTCATATCGTGGAGATTTTATATCATTTTCAAAGCTTCGCATTTGTGAAATATCTATTATAAGCTTTCTATTGTAACCCCTAATATTATTGTAGCTCCTAATATTATTCAAACTTTGTAAACTTCATATTGTCAAGTTTATGTTGTAAACTTCATATTTCAATTACGCGTTTCAGCCTTGAATTTAATATTTACGAATTTCATCCCTTGAATCTCTGTATTAAAAGTTTCGCATCGTATAAGTTCATATTAATATACCATCGTATACCATGAAATTAATGTGCGAATATTTCACATTCTTATGGTCAGGTAATAAAATTTTAATTACGACATTCGCATTAAAAAGATTAGACGAGGTTCGTGTTATGAGATTGTTATCCGGAGTCTTGCATGTTTTTGCAAAACCAAGCACGCTTTTCTCGTCGTCACAATTCACGCTACGTGATATGGCGTCGATATTTAAGGTTGGTCAGCTTTATGTTTCTTTTCCACGAACTCTCCGTAACGGATGGAGATTAACGATGAAATTGCATGTAATTTTCGCGTTCGATGATGAAACATTGAGATTCGTTATTTCGATTGTGACTTGAAACGCTGTGACCAAATATTATCATGGATATTCCGATGCAATGAAATTTTTGGAATTTTAATTCTCTCTGTTGAAATTAATCGTAATATTTTCAAACAATTTTTTTTTAATTTTTTTTTTATATCATTATTATGATTCTTCGAATAATATCTGGATAAATATTTACAAAAAAATATATTTCTATCTTCCGATTTTGATGATTTTTTTAATATATTATCAAGGTCATCGCATTGATAATTTAACAAATCGTTGTTTATTAAAAAATTATTTATCTAATCTAGTCTAATTAAGACTCAATATAATATATCAGGAAACCGTAAATTAAATAAAAACTCATTTAGTTATTAATGGTTTGCATTAGGTTTGCACTAGTTTTCTTAATCTGACTACTATAATTGTAGTAGTAGCGATAAAGCTGATTAAAACTAACCCAACCTAACATAAACTGTTTCGAAGGAACGTTTTTATTAATAACTTTTTAATGAACAGCGACCTCTAAGTAAAAATCTTCACAACACAATTCAGAGTGATGGCAATATATTAAAAAGCCATCAAGATCAGAGGGTGATATTTTTTTTTTTTTTTTATAAATAATATTTGATTTGATCTTTTATTTAAAATTGAATAATTATGGAAAAAACTTGCTTGTGACAAAATTGTAATTGTAATTATAAATATAAATATTTCCTTTCTTTATTTATTTGTATCTATTAAATTGTATTATGAGAATGATTGAACGAAGGAACATCAACATGTTATAATTACGTTAGTGTGAGACAATTATTATTTTATTTGGTTATCAGAATGACGTGGCTCAAATAATCTTCACGTTGTGCATGATTTGCAAACAGAACTTCTTTGCTAGAATATAAATCGTTTTGACGCTGATCTCTTTGCAAATGTGTCTGTATAAATTCCATCTCGGTCTGAATATAATTAAAAACATACGATATATGATGCGTACAAAAATTCATTTTATTAAAATAAGCGAAAGACGCGTGCAAAATTTTAATTAAAAATTCATTACTATTCCAAACATTTAAAAGATGTTTTGCTGCCAACATTATTTCTCTCTCTAAAAATATTAAAATAATTTAAATATAATTTCAAATTGTTTCCAGTTTCGAGAAAGATACATTAGAGATCTCTAAAAAAATACTTGGTACCAGTTTGTAGTCAGTTGAAATTAACATTAGCATGATCAAATATTCCCAGAACAATCCACGAATTGTCTCTTATTATCTTGTTCCAGGTACGAGAGGCTCCTCAGAAGAGCGAAGACAGAGGATCTGTCGGAAGTTTCAGGAATTGGCTGCCTCTATCAAAGTGGAGTTGATCGTCAGGGTCGACCAGTCGTTATATTCGTCGGCAAATGGTTCCCTGCCACTAAAATCAATCTGGACAAGGTAAGACTTTAACTCCATACTCTAAAAACGATTCAATTCTTTAACGTTCCAATCTTCTTTTTGATAAATTCTTTTTTCATCGATTTAAAATTCTAAATTTTTTAATAAACCATCATTAAGACTAAAAGTAAAAAATATGTCGTATCTTTTATTTTGATATAATAGCGAATATCTATAGCGAATGATTAAAATAAATAATTAAATATTATTTATTTATTTATTTATTTATATATATATTAAAACACAGATATATATATAAAAGATTAATTTGAATTCAATCTTCCCAAAAAATTAAAATTTCCAAAAATATTCAGATATTGATAAAATTTACAAATTGAAGAAAAATGTATTTTGAATTTTCAAAAATATTAAACATGTTATAAATTTATATTATCAAACTAAACTAACAAATATATGTAACTATTCTTAGACTGAAATAAACTTTAAAAGCAAGAATATAATAATAATTATTAATAAAATATAATGTTTAATATTTTTTAAACACATTACTCATCAAAGATGTATCAAACCAAGTAAACTTTTTATAAAAAAATTATTATCATAAGTATTTTTATTTTTATCATGGATTTATAAAACGTTCGAATATTTTTACAACATAAATAATCATTTCCTTTTATTCTCCTTTGAACAATGATTTATTTATTTGAAAAATTTTTTTATTTTCTGATACCTGCAGAATGTTCTGACGAAGAAAATAGAAAAAGGATACTGAAACAAACACAAAAATTTTTACACAAAAATATCCATTGAAGCTTATTTTTCAAGTTATGAATATTTTATCTTTGCACTAAATAAAACGAGACGGAAATAGAATACGATAGACATAGAGTCTCGCTTCATCTAATAAAAAGTTAAATAGCTTATAACTTGAAAAATAAGCTTCAATAGATATTTATGCATTAAAACTTCTATATTTGTTTCAACCTTTAGATTATTCTGAAAAAATAAAAATCATTGTATCGATATCTGAATAATTTTAACAATAATTGTATTAATTTTTAACGTAGCTGTTCATTTCGAGTTTATTAAAGTTTCTTACTAAGATTTCTTTACTCAATGAACAGATAATATTGCTTATTATTAGAGAACCAATGAATTCCACCCTTACAACACGAACATGTAATTATATGATGTTTGAACATGTCTGTGCGTAAGATTAACACTCTCTCCTTGACTCTTATCCAGTCATAAAGATACAAAATACAGGAAATTGCATCCAATATTTACTGAAGCATTCTAAAAGATTACACTTACGTTTCATTCCACTTTTTCAAATTTGTGCAAATGTTTCAAAATATGGAAATATCATTTTGGGAATATATTTTTTCTCATCCATAAAAGCAAAAATTATTATAAATCAAAATATATGGTAGAATAGTTTTAATTTATACAAACAAAAATGAAAAAGAAAACAAAATGAAAAAGAAAACAAATTTTCCAAATCTACATTTTAAAAAGATTAATCTAATGAAATGTAGCCTTATTTAACTTAACCTATTCTAATAATAAGAAATATAATAATTTTAAAGGTACAACAATTTGATTCATAAATGTAATAATTCGACAAGTTCAACTTTAAACTTATTCTATATTTATATTAGAAAAATATTAGAAAATATAATATTAAATTTTTCCTTTGAGATATTTATATTTATAAATACTTTTTATGACATATAAATTTTAACCCGATATAGAAAACAATAAAAACACTTCTATCTCTAGAAAAGTACCACAAAGAAAAGATCAAATTGTTCCTTTTCACTTCAGACATCGTTGAAAGTTCAACACGATCTGAGTCACGAGGACATCAAAGAAAGTTTATCGCAAGCCAAATATTGTATATACAACTGATATCAGATAAATATTTTGCTAAAGATTTATCATCATATTTATACAGTCAAGCGAGCTATAAGATTCACAAAATATTTCGCATTTTTGCATAAATTAAGAGAACAAATTTCATTTCGTAATTCAACAAATTCACGATAAATAAATACTAGGGCTACATTCGAAAGTCGTCCAATAAATCGTCCAAGAAGAATCACAAACAAAGCTATAACTGTTCAAAGCACACTCTATATCTGTCGATTTAATAACGCGCAGATATTGCTAAATAAAATCAGGAGAGCAAGCAATCTTCGTTCACGTGCGCTTCGCGCCGCTTCAAATGTTCATCCACGGATCCTTAATCATCTTTGGAATCGTCGTGAACACGTGAACAAGTAGGAGCTACCACGTGATTCGAAAACATAGAGCAAAGTTGTAAAGCAAGAGCACGAAATCAATACGCGCCTCTAGGTAGGTTAGCCTCGCCTCTTTTATTATAGTTAGCGTGTTTAGCGGTTCTTTACAAGCTGATCGATCCGTTTTAACATACCTCGACATCTGGAGGAAATTGTCTTTAGCGGTTTTCCGCGATGAGGTTGAGGGTATTTTTATGATAAATTTAATTTGTCGATGAATTTTATAACAAATTTCTATAATTATTTAGAGAAAAGTGATCACGTCCCATCTTAATGATTTTTTAATATATTATCGAGATTATCATTCTGGATGATTTATTAAGATTTTGTTTGTCAAAAAATTAACAAAAATGTAATTGCGGTTTTTAGAAACGGTTTAAGTTAGATTAAGTTAGATAGTTTTAATCAGGTTTACTGTTACGGACAATTGTGATGACTGGTAAAATTAAGAAAGCAAACAAACTTAATGCAAACTATTAAATCGATTAACAGTGAGTTTTTAATTAATTTTGAAGTGAAATTAAACTTAGAATTAACATAAATTAATTTTAGTTAATTAGAAAAATTTATTTCATTTCTAGTTTCATGGTTTGAGTTAGATTAGATTAGATCTATAATTTTTTAATAAATAACTTCCAAGTAAAATATTCGTAACTATTCAGTGTCTTGACAACATATTAAAAAACCAAAAATAAAGGATAATATCTTTTTAAATAAATTTTTTTTTTTAAATACTTATAAAAAATTTGTCGTGGATAGAGAAAAATTGTAAGATATGTTCTTGCTAAAATACATATGGTAATGTTTAATGAGAACTATATTTGATTCATCGAGCAGATATTGATTTTAAATAACATTTTGAAAAAAAGAAGAAGATCTAAGACATTATGATAACAATTATTGAGAATCTTTCTATTATATGGTCTTATATTTGAATCTGTATGAGTCAATTTTTGAATTCGTTCCATATTGAATCTACATTATTCAATTGATGGATTAATCCTTAATTCTCTTATGTTTAAGTCTATATGATCTAATTATATCTTGGATTGATCCTTCTATATTTAAATCTATTATAATTATATCATTAGATTGAATCTTTTATATTTGACTCCATTAATTGTCTTTCAATCAAATTATATCTTTAGATTAATGTTATTAACTGTATTAAAATCAGATTTATTTATCTTATACGTGATTTGATTAATAAAAATTTGATAATCAAACGAAATAAGTTTCGAATGAAAAATAGATTTAAATTTATAAAATTTAGATAACTGGAATTTGAATTTATTAGAAAAGAATATTCAATTATTTGAGTTTGATTTTAGAAGATTGTTTTCGTTGAAACAAGATGAATAATATATGAAGAAATATTCAGTTCAGACGTTGGTAAAAAAAAAATTAACGAATTATTTATTACTAAGTCAGAAGGAATAACCGGATATGATTAGAATTATTCATTGGCTCGATCGAATGTTTATTCAAAACGTCGCTTATTCGATGATTCCACTAAATCCTGCATGACGTACCTACTTTGAAACGATTGTCGCTTGATCGCTTTGACCGTAGGTTGCTATGTTGAGCCCTTTAAGTGAATCATCTTGCATCACTGACGCTGCCTCTGACCAAGATAGACGAGGTTCAAAGTTGAACGTGAAAGTTCAGGTTTCGTTCGTGAAAATATTTCTAATGCATATTTCATATTTTATTATAGAAAAAAAATTTTGCATATACATTTATATACATTTGTAGGATATCTTAAGAGGATCTATTCTAGGGATTAGGACAAATACAAAAATTGGTGTAAATGAAAATCTTGTTTGTTAGCTTATAAACAAATTGCAGTTAGATGAAGCAAGACTTAGATAAGATTATCTCTGTCACACCATCATTGCGTTATATCTCTTTTCATCTGATGAAAATTTAATTAAATCATTTATAACTTAAATTGTTTATTATAACTTTATTATAACTTAAATTGTTTATAACTTAATAAATAATATTTTTATATATACCAACTTTTGTATTTGTTTTAATATTTATATAAAATTGATTTTAAAAAAGAGATATCCCATGAATATATTAACATTTTGCATATATATAGAATAATAATAGAATAATGGATTTTTTTCGGAAAAATAAATCGAAAATATAAAATAAAGTACAACAGTGAAATTAGTTAATTATTTTTTGTGGAATTACAGTTGTATCATCACTCTATATTGCATAAATTATTTACAAAAGTTTTATTAAATTATCAGGAATATTATATTTCCTTCGTCAAATTTAAATCATTTAATAATAAAAATTATAAAGATAAGAAATCTAGATCAAGATAATTACATTTGTTTATTCAGTTTACATTTGCGTATTAATAATTCCAATTATAATTTTCAATTATGATGAAGTATTTTGTTGCGAATTTAAGAAATGGTTTTTATTTGAAGTAGAGTTTCACTTAACGTTTTCGCTTTAATGGACGACCGATTTTTCTTTGGTTTACGATTTCTTCCAACTTTGTCTACTTTCCACTGTCACTTATAACAGTTTAAACAACTCTTTCTAGTCGAGGTTGATATTGGATATCTATCTCAAATACAAAGAAAGATAGGAAAGTTTAATAGTGTATAACTCTTAAACGAAATCAAAAAAATTAGTTTTCATGTTTTATTTAAAAAGTTGCATTTTTATAGATTTCTAACTTTTATTAATTCTTCTACTAAATTTTTCACG